CTTAGGTAGACTTAAATTGAAGGCATCGGCGGTGAGAATTGCATTTAGAGCATTTTCCACTAGTAAATGTCCTCTGAATGCCCTTTGAACAGCTTTGCCGCTGAGCATGTGTCCCACCGTATTTGAAGCATACACACACTCTAAAAGTTCTTCAATACCAGAACCAGACATAATGCTGCCAATGCAACCAAGAAAACTCATTTCTGCGTGGAATCCTCCAAGACGAAGTATTATAGAGCGCAGTTCACTGTCTGGTCGTTCACTCTCTACGATAAGCTGCGCTTTCCACCACAAGGGTTGGTCGAATGTAATAATAGGCGTGGTATGTTGTCTTTTACAATGTGCTTCTACAAATTTAAGCGTTGAATATATACAGCTCATGTTTGTTGGATCCATGTCAATCATTGGTAAGAATGTAACAGAAGATTTTCCGGGATGGCTTCCTTTGCTTATAGTCTGCATTAATCCAGACCAATTTGGCTTGGGGGATCGAATTGGCCAAACTAAACTGCAGAGAGAGTCTAACTTCCAAGTTTTATTGACGTTAGAAAGACATGGCAGTTTCTCATAAACCAAAGGCACTTTGACATCATTAGCCGTCTTGTAATAGTGAATATCAATCTTTCCAATATTTGCTATCTCTGCAGCTGTGGTAGAACACCTCGGTATTGGAGAATCTGGATGCGTGGCCGGAGTAACAGCAGCTATTATCCCCATACCATGAAAAGTGTTCTGTCCGTCCAACGTACAGACATTGTGGTCTACATTATCTGCTACATATTGTACAAAGTGACCAGGGGTTAAACCAGGAATATCTGTGCCTTTTGTTTGCGCCGCACTCATTTCAAATTTCTTAACTTCAGTGTAAGAGGAACAAAACCCATGACTATTCAAGGAATCAATTAAAAATTTGGATCCATAATGGTGGTGCATTTGGACTGCCAGGCCGATTTGAAGAGGAGCTATCAGGACCCTGGGCCGAGCGGCTTGAATAATGGCTTGCCCTATGGAAGCAATCTTTCGCTCTCCACTCTTTTCGTTAAATATTGTTCTCAGAAACAAATACAACGTTTCAGGTAGAAAAGCGCAGTTTTCATCCAAAGACGAAATCTCTCCAGGTAATGGATAAAAACTTTTAGAGATGTCCTTACTTTTGATGTCCGTTTTTATGAGATCTGCAGCTGCCTTAATCACTCTGATTTTATCGGCTTCAGGGTCAGCATCTCTAGAAGCGTCATAAAAATTTTGCAAGATGGTCGAAGCTGTACTCCTAAATGTTACGACATCAGCCTTACCATTGATACTAGCAATAACGATGTTTTCTCCAAAATGCTCTTTAAGTTTTTCTTTCATATACCGTGCGCTGTAAGGTTCTTGGTCGTTGAATTCTGCCATCTTATTCATAAGATCGTTCACAGTTATCTGCTCGTCATCGTTTTCCTTAAGATATTTTGCAACCTCCAAGAATGCCTCTTGCCTAGACTTATCAGTTGGCCTGCCTTTCTTTTGTCGTTTGCTTCCGTTAGTTTGATGAGAAAGCGGTACTTGCTTCCCCGTCCGAAAATTGGTACTGCAAAGTTGGTGATAAATTGCACCTGCTGCAATGAGATCTTGGGAAAAAGATATTCTGCCATGCACTTTCTCAGCCCAACCGTCTCTTCGCTCTTCACAAATTCGGTTTAATGTGGTTTGAAAATCTAATGTTCTAACAGGAAAAACATCATGTCCTCTTTTGTTTCCCGTAAGTTTAGCAGGCTGGCTGCAAAATAAACATCGTTCACCAAAATCAAATGTTGGTTCACTGGAACGCAGGGTACGACTTGCACTAGAGGATGTTTCTTCATCAGCCGTATGTTTCTTTATGTAGGAACGAATAACCTTTACATGACAGTATTTCTGCCTGCATTTTTGTACACGCTGTCCTGCAAAAGTTTGGAGTGTGTCGCCACGTAGTTTACTTGCATTGTTGATGCCATCGCTTCCTTTTTGCCTAAGTTCCACTGTTTCGAGGCCATTGGTTGATAATTCCTTGCAAATTACACAATACTCCATCGTGTGATGTTAACCGGACGATAAACCACATCTTTAACCATCTATACTTTACCTTCACACGACATTTTTCACTAAAGTACCACTCTGGACGTCCAACAATGCGTTTCTACCAATACTCGTCTAAATAAATGTCTTGTGAAGCGAAGAACTTTGTTAGTTTGAAGGCCAGAGAATCGTCCAGAGCAGTTGTACGGAGCAAGAATTTTCCAAACCAAACAATCGAGAGTCTTTAGAGTCACTGATACACATATATACTTATTGATAGAGAACTAATTCAAGGAAAACTGTTGTTTTCCAGTTCTCGAAATAAAATTTCTTCGATGTGATAAAAAAGTTGTTCAAATCTTTACATTTAAACACGTGCACGCATTTTGTTTTCCAATTACGCCTATTGTTTTTAGCTGTTTGCTGTAAAAATTTACGCATATATTTTGAATAAACTGCGCGGCAGCCATTTTGAATTTAGAAAAAGAATTCAATCATAAAACTGTAATTTCATCATTTTATCCTTCGAAACGTTTGGTAGACTTTTGACATGTTATTTATAGGCATCCGTAGAATAACTTCCGGCAAAAATAAATTCTGTTGCAATTACTTCAAGGTTCGGTCTTTTTTTCTCGTAGAATGACTAGACTATATGTATTCTACGTAATTCTACTTTGAGGGAAACTAACAAATATTCAAATTATCAAAAAACAAATTTAATACCCGGCGTGAAACACACAAGTTTCTTATCATTGTAGACAACATAGGCAAGGAAAAAGCATGTTTTAAAAGACAAAGGAAAAAAAACTTGAAATAACCAGGGGGAAGGGGATGTATGCTTATTGCCTCGTAGCGGAGTAAACCTGTAGTTTGTGACATCGCTCGAGGTGTTCAGGACTGAACGCCAATATTTTGTGCTTCGATGCTAAAAATAAAGAGAATGTTTGAGAATGGTAAGGGGTCAAATAAAACCATACCGTGACTGGTCTCCTTTAGATGTTCAACAAGCAACTCCCTTTTCACATGGCAGTCCACTGTAAGTTTCCTCTTTCCCAGTTAGGTGAGTTGGACACATGGCTTTTTTAGATTGATCGGTTTGCCTCGCTAAGGAATGCGTTTTACTTTTAATTGTCAACTAAAAGGGGAAAAGTATATCTGGAGGGTTTTTCCTTCTTCTATTTCTTCCTTTTTTTGCATGAATTTTTCATTCAATTCAGCATGTTTTTTTCCAATCCCTCTCCATCCTTCCCTGACACAGTAAGCATCAGACGAGGATATTTAGCCGGTATTTTTTGTTTCGCTTGCACCGTAGACCATTTCCACCGTGACTTAAGCGAAACGAGCAAACTACAAAACAGAATACCTGCAAAAAGTAAACCTGGTCTGACAGGTTAAAGAGGATCACTGACCCCAGACGTGACATCACGCGTTTTAAAAATGAAAGAGAAACTGTGACTGGGTAAATTCCCCGTCCTTGATTATTCTTCAAACCTGTCGGCTGCAGCAGTTTTTTGGTATCTGATCGGTTTTCAGTCACAGAATTTCTTTGGAGTATGATTTCTATGAACCCATTCTCGTTTCTTGGACATTGTTTTTTTTAAAGTTTACTTTAAAAAGTTTTCAACGTTTGAAATATGCCGCGGAGTAAACGGTGCTATGTCAACTAAACTTTGCTCGAGCGCGAAGCATTTTAAACTCATGCAGGAAAAAAGTTACTATGTCTTTGAATGTGCATTTTGTTGGTCTAGTCTGAGTTTTCACAAAATGGTAAATAAAAACAAACGCAGTAAAATGAAAAACGCCTCAGCGCACAAATCCAGTCCATTCCGTCCTTGAGGCAGCTGCGATTTTCAGTAGGATGAGAGACTGGGGACGAGGTGCACTTCCAATAAACAAAATGGATTGGCTCAGTTGGGTCAGTCAGCTGGGCTATACACAGCGTTGTGTTGTAAATGGAACCGTCTCATTGCGCGGTAAGAAGGATAGAGGAGGAGAGCTACAACTTTGGTTTCGTGCGATGTTCAACGATTGCCGCCTTTTATATGCCAGTAGGATAGCAGGGCATGACGAAGATGGTATGTGAGTTATTGATGTTTTTCCTCTTTCACTTCCAAGAGTGCACTGACAAAATCAGCAAAATCAAAACGTTATCAACAGAGAAGTCGAAATTTCATTTCGTCCAATACTGAAAACAAATAGTACCATGTGAGAGTACTGCTAAAGGGGTTTCGTCCAGGGGCTCAAGAGTTAGAACTAAATTTTATAGATCCATGACTCTAGGTGTGAAAGCGTTTTAAATATATAATTTAACAATACCATTATAATAAACTGGTTCAAGACTTCAGAGGTAGTGCATCGTTTTATTACTCTGTTTCGTGTGGCCAAAAGATGACAACACTCATAAGGTAATATCAACGATTAACCGGTAGATTACAACAACTGGCAAGAAAGCAGAATAAGGTTGCTATGAAATATAAAAACAGCGTTATGTTATCGTATAAATCAGGTGATTGCTATTTATAATTTGGAAGATTGTGTTACTTTATCATAAAGTTCCATGAGGAGGTAACCCCCGGGGGGGAAAGGTTACTTCCTTATAAGAGGCTAATAGGAATGTGCCGCTGGATGGGGTCGCATTTTCACAACTGGATTGATTATAGAGGGGTCGAAATTTCAATAGAGTTACTAGAATGGGGTGGCACATTTTGGGATTTTTTGGGGTAAGACAGTTCTTCATATTTACGGTTAGCAAACGTACCAGAATGTTTGTACTGTAAGTGAAAAGTAAAGTGCTCTTCATTCAGTTTAAAAAATGGTTCAATTCACAAAAATAAAAAGTGATTATTTGCCCAAAAGTGGCTAAGATGGGGTCCATAATTGGTCACAGAATAGACTATAATGGGGTAGGGGCTCTGAGAGGCCAGCGGCACATACCCAGCAGAAATTTAACCAAGTACCCCCCCCCCCGGTATTAAGCGGACACCTTCGGGACCTTCCCAAGTGTCAGCTTTTTATAGAGGTTTGTAAAAATTGCGCAATGTTTGTTAACGATTAACATTCAACGGTTACTCTGTACTGTGATTACGCTATGTTGTTGAGGAAACTAAGGAAGCTAAGGAAGCTGTGCTGTACTTTGCGCAACACGTTCGGTGAACTTTGATCGCGGATGACGATTATACTGCCGGATATCGGTGTAATATGCAGTTAATTGACCTCTAAATGTATTGATTTATCTCTATTAATCGACTACAGTACGTATTTCAAGGAAGTAATCCACTACTCCCTCTCCTTACTTTTTTCAGTTTGTAATTATGCCTGAAACTACAATGAAGGTCACCAAGGATACAGTTACAATTAAAGAGCTAAAAGACTGGTAGGGTCACGAAGGACAAACTGTTCAACTAAAAGATGCTGATCCAAATGAGCTTCAGCTTTTTATTGAAAAAATGCCCGTCCCAATCAAAGGTGAGAGTGTTCAAAGTAATTTCCAAAATTTTGTTTAAGTTTTGGTTTTGGAATAAAGAGGTACATGGTTGAACCTCTGTACAAATGTATGGAAACAGGCAGATCTTTTTCTCTTTTGGTTTTAGTCTTTAAATAAAAAGACGAATACGGGTTAAACTTACTGTATTTACGAAGGTTTATAAAACAGGTAGCTCAAGCTTATGGCTAGAGTAGTTAGTTTGGTGTTTTTGAATTGAGAAGCGTACGGTTAAACCCGTACATTTGTGTGGATAGCTGGGCTTAAATATTTATAATTGAGGAGTGAAATATCCATATTTAGTATATACTAAAACAGTGGATAGTGTTTTTCGCGCGCTCTGATTGGCTACTCAATCAGTGAATATCCTGCACTATTCACTGATTCACCTCCAGTTCCTCCGAGCGAGCGACGCCAAACTTGCGTAAGTTGCAAGCAAAATGCCTTCCCGGTTTGCTGCCGTAACAAACTAAGAAATTTCCCAACTAATCATGCAAGCTATTCACAAAATACATGAAAAAGGTGACGAAGTTCGGTTTGGAAGTTTTAACAGGTAAATCTTTGTCTTTTTAAATTTATCGATAAAACCGGTGAAAAAGTTTTTTGTTTACAAATGCAAATTAAGCTTTAGTCTTGCGTTACTTAATTTAGTTGACTTGTTTATAAATAAGCTTAAAACTAAATTTAATAATCTCTTTTACAGAATGATTTTAAATACAAAAAGAATTCACAACTCCTTTTGAAGAAACTTCCCCGCAAGAGCTATACAAACGCCTTCAAAAGTTTTTGTCGCTAAGAAAAAGCGATGACCGCGGCCGTTCGGTCATCGTGCGCCAAAATTGTAATCGTTAGCAACAGTAAATGAGTTAAAAATCATCATTTTTGTGCTCAATTATCTCACTGTTTTAGTATATACTAAACAATTATTCACCTCAGTGTCGGCGGCTAGTAGTGGAAATTAACCTCGCCGCTTCGCGGCCGTCCGTATATAGCCACTTCTAGCCACCTCCACTTCGGTGAATAATTGTTACATAACAAGGCAGAACATTAACGCCTATAAATTTTGTCAACCGGGAATCTTCGCGTCAAAACATTGTTCGCTGTTAACTCGTCCTCAGTTACTGTAGTTTTCTTATCAAAAATGTAGTTTACGTCATAGAAAGTGCTTTGTACGGGGTTATATTCACGAGTGTTTGTGTCAAAACCCGAACGAGCAAGATACGAGCCAGTGAGGACTTTTGACACAAACAAGTCGTGAATATGACCCCGTGCAAAGCACTTTCTAAGACGTGAGCTGTTTATTACACATATTAGGAGACTTTTCACTGAAATAGCTTTCTTAATGTAACACATAAGCTTATTACTATTAAAAGAGCAAATCACAAATGCTGACATGCAAATGCAAATTTAATAGCAATGGCAAATCTTGCAGCACATCCTTAGTCCTCATCGTGCAGAACAGAAAATGCACTTACAAAAATTTAATCTAGTATGACGTTACAAAAGACAGACCTCAGCGATGTGGGCTCGTAGA